GCATGGCTTCTTCAACGGAATATCAAGACCAAGCGACCATGTGATAAGTTGGACTATCGAAGATTGGGACCATTTATCATCCAGAAGCAAATCAATCCAGTGGCGTACCGTCTGGAATTACTGGCTTCTATGAAGGTACATCCAATCTTTCATGTTTCTCTGTTGGAGCCTTATCGAGAGTCATCTTTTTCTAGAAGAGTGCAATGTTCGCCACCTAGTATTGAGATCGAGAACCATGAGGAATACAAGGTTGAAAAGGTGCTAGATTCACAACTAAGGTGGGGCAAGTTGGAGTATCTTGTTCATTGGTGCGGCTACGACATTAATGAGCGAACGTAGGAGCCAGCTGAAAATCTCGCCAATGCGCCGCAAAAGGTACAGGAGTTTCATCAACAACATCCTCATAAACCTAAGTCGGTTTGACGATAGCTTCTTTCTGAAGCTTGCTCACCCAAGAATATAAGAAAGGGGGAGAGCACCACCAAAATTCGTAGTTGATGTAGTTATTTTCTCCAAGATAAAATAGAATTTTTTCAGTAGCCATAGTTTGGTCTTTTGATATGGATAGCCAAGAGATAGATACTATGCCAATCAGATTATCTCAACCGACTAACTCACGAAGGCAATCCCGAGATGAAGAACCGCCTACACAATGACGACGACGGAGGTTACCGAGTAACCGATCACTGGTGATTGTATTTGAGTCCGAGCCTACTTACGATGGTCAGCCAGAAGGCGTGTTTGCAGGACAATTTCACAATGAAGACACGGAAGTTCATGCTTGGCCAGAAGTTGAAGGAGTGGGCCACTACCGTTGGCTTCAAGGGCCGATGAACCACTTGCCTCATGAACAACAGTTGGAGTTCATAGCAGACGTTATACGATAGATCTTCATTTTCTTGCGTTGGTACTGATTAATAACAACATTGCTTCTTAGAGACCTCGAAGCTAAAGGAGGGGGTGATGTTAGAGACATAATTCTTAGAACCTTCTAGAAGCTTCTTAGTTAGTAGAAGATGTTAGGGACTTAGTCCTTAGAACCTTCTAGAGATAAGTTTCTAGAACCTTCTAGAAGCTTCTTAGTTGGTAGAAGTTGCTTGAGAAGCTTCCTAAATAGGAGTATATATTGGAATCGAGGCTGAAGAGTTCTTCAATCTTGTCTACACATCTCTTGGAGCTCTAGCTCACCTCTTTGGTGTTGTTCTTGTATTCATCTGATTAATCTAGTTCTTGCGAGTTCTTCTTGAACTTCTTGTTAGATCTCGAGTCTATATTTCTATGTCCGTGACACTTTCTTGTAGAAACCTTTGTCACAAGGACCAATGATTATAGCTTAATTCTTCATTTTAATTTTTATAAATATTGTTGATGAAAAAAAATCAACCTTCTTCACTACATTTGCAAGATTTTAAGATAGCTCTCATGCATCTTGTCTAATATCATATCTATACTAATATACAAGATAGTCAACTTATTTTGGCATAGCCTTGAATTTAAGACTTCTTCTATATCAAATTCTTGATTATTATTTAATTCTATAAAAAGAGGTGCTATTTTCTTTCTTTTTAGTATATCCATTGCCTTTTATGGCTCAAAAAGGGACATATAGAATACATGATGAATCTTTATAGTCATTGATAGATGTAATTGATATGCAATTAGATTGATTTTTTTATAAATAGAAAATAATCTTAGTCTACAATAATTCAACTTATCACAATGGCAACTAATCTTAATATTACAAAAAAAATAAACATATGTTGTTGCCAACATAGAATTGAGATTGTTCCTTACAAAAAAAATTTGTATTGAATCTTTATTGTTCTTGTACTTTTTTTAATTGTGTCTTCATTGTTGTATATAACTTTAATAAATATTTTTTTAGATTTTTTATTGTAGAATAATAATTGAGAAATAAAAAATATAAAGTCATAGATAATAACTATAATTATTATAGAGATTTATTTTTAAAATAAAAAATATAATATTTTATTTCAAGCAAACTTTGTCAATGACAAAAGAGTTGTTTAATCATCTTGATGGTAGTTAATAGTACATCTCAAACACTACTTTAGAACTTGATTCATGTATTTTAATTATTTATCAATTTGAAATTAAAAAGCCATGGATAGTTTTATGTCCACTTTTAATATCTTAAAAAGAGCCCTCTAAAATCTTGATACAAATTGAGTCTTTTTATCCAATATAATATTACTTGATAATCTATGATAACAATTAATATTTTTAAGGAAAAATTTAATTGTTTCTTTACCTATGATAATTTTTGTATATATTACACAATGTATCATCTTAGTGTAATGATCTATTATCAAAAATATAAAACTATATAAATTTTAAATTAAATAATTTGTAATAAAATCCATAAAAAATAAAAAATAAAAACCATAGTCATTTTGATATAGATAATAGTTGAAAAAGTCCATAAGGCTAATGATAAAGAAATTATGATCTTGAAAGAATATCACATGATTTTACAAAGAATTTAATTTTCTTTTGTATTTAAAGCCACCAAAAATATTTTGATATAAATTCTTAGGTCTTGTATCTAAAACAATTTGTAATTAAAATATTAAAAAAAAATTAAAGAGCATATAATTGTGCTTCATCTTTTAGAACATGTAAGCATTTCTTAAAATTTAGAAGATTGTTCTTCAATTCAAACCTAGAAGTAATATGAGATTTAAAAATTTTATTTCTAATATTATAAATAAGAAGATTTGAAGACATAATTGAACTTGCTCAAAATAATAATAATAATAATAATTAATGTTGATTTTATAGCTTGTACATGATCATTTTGCATTCAAAAGACTACTTTTCTATGGATAAAAGTTGCACCTTTTTCTTTACTAGAAGATAAGAGCATCTAAAAAAGGAATTTAACAAATTTTATTGTTTTTTAGTTGATATGTGATTTTAAATTTAAATCTTGACAAAAACATGCTCCAACAAACTTAACAACAATGTTAAACATGTATTGACATAAAATACTTGAGGTTCTTTTAATCTATATAAACAATCACTAGACTAGAAGCACCTTCCAAATAATGGCATCATTCTTAAAATGAATCTACAATTGCAAGAAATTATTTGTTGTAGATCTTCTAATTAATTTTGGCTACTAAAAATTTTCTTAAATAAAAAGTAATTCAAAATACACTCTTTTATTCATATCTTTTTTTGATATGTATCAAATTGTATGTTCATTATAGATCTATTTTTTTATAGATCTTTGCTTGATTCAATTGATAAAGAAGTTCCAGTATAAAAGTTAAAAGATACATATTCTTAATAATAATCTTGTTGAGTACTTATAATCTACACACATTTGTAATTTATTATTATTATAATAAATAAGATGGAAGCTTCTACTAAAGATTTTGAATGTTGTATAATTGTTTTGGCCAAATTCTCATCAATATATTCTTTGAGTGCAACCAAGTTTTTCCATGATAAGCTATAAATTGGTCCAAATGGCAATTGAATTTCTTCTTAAAGATCAATAGAGCAATTATAAAGACAAAATTTTGGAAGAATACATGCATTTTTTTTTTCAAGAATGTCTTGATAATCTTGATATTAATTCAAAATATTGCTTGAAATCTTTCTACCATCAAAAATGGATGTGGTATAAATAACAAAAGATAACATTTTTTTTGCAACATGCATGAAAGGTCTTTTATATACCAATAAGGCTTTGATTATATTAGACTCATGACTTTCTACTTTAATAACAAAAATCTAGATTATATTATAAAAAAAATCAAGATTTTAAGAGATTTAGTTTATTCAAAGATTTAGTTTATTCAAAGATTACAGTTCTCTAGCCACAATAAATCTAAAATAACTGGGTTAAAAGGAGATCTAATAATATTAAATATTATTAATCTATTATATTTGTTTGATTTTACATCTAAAAAAATGGTTTCATAAATAACATCAACAAAAAACCATGTATGACTTTTATATGTACGGATTGAAATGCTCTTTTCTTGCTCTTTCGCTTTTCGACTGACCTGAATTAGTCGTCTGGTTTCTGACGCCATCTATTGCTTGAATTAATGGTTAATCTGTTATTAATTCAAAATATTGCTTGGTCCATCGTACAAGTCTGATAAGCACCGACAGCAGCGTCTTGGTTTATCGAAAAAAACGTACAGAAATGAGTCCACGCTGCTGAAAAATTACTCCTGAGTTTCGGATGGTTGTATCTTAGCATAGCCCTGCCACTCCAGAGGCCTCCCTCTGCGTTTGATCCCAGGCGGCAGTTAATCTTGAATCCACTTGAAATTGGAGCAGCTACCACAGAATTTTCTACCACAGAATTTTCTAGGTCTCAATTATCAATGCGTCTACGCGTGCGAACTTTTGCACATATAGGCCTGCTTGCAAGTGTGCTTTAAAGAAACACTTGATACTATTCGATATTATTGCACCCCTGCTATTCGTATCAAGAATATCATTACCCATTTGGTTCTCTCAATGTTTTCACCAAGGAGCATATTCAACACAAGATATCTATTTCCGTAAGTAGGCCCATGTTGCAACCAGTCGGTGCTTCGGCAACGGTTGGCATCCTGTAGATACTGTGGAAAAAGTACTCTATTCGGAAAACATCCGCTAGACAAGTGAGGGGTGATGCAATGCGGCATCATGCCTGCAGGCTAACTATTTTCGAGATCAATCAACGAAATACCACTGACTGATGTAGCTTGAGCAGAGGAGGACGGTTTCTGATTCTGATTAGAAAAGTTGTACACTGCAAGCGAGAGGAGTTAGCTGCACTTGGATGGTATTGACAGCCTGCTTCTGATGAGGGAATCAAGATGAGCATAATAGTTCTCCCGTCATTGTCCAGTCCTGCTTACCTCCAATTCATTAGCAACAGCCTGACGGTATACCTTTTTCTTTTTCTTAAGAGAAAAAACATGCAACAAAGCTGTAAGTGAAAATGCAAATCAACAATTCGTAGACGCAGGTAGTCAATGTTTCTTTGGCGTTCAAAGCTTGCCCAAAGTCATATCCTAGAAGCAGTAACTTATTTTCAATATCACGTGAACTAGATCAGTTCGAGGAATCTTTCAGAGCATCAATCGTGTTATGGAGAAGTTCAACACTGGCAAATCTAAGCTGTGCCCTGTGTCGAACACCAGCAAGAAGCTGCTCGAATTCCACGCTCCTGTAAAAGAATTAAATAACCCATACAGACAATAAAAACCGACACAACTGTAGCAATTGGTAATGTAGAAGTATTGGTAGTTATTACTAAGCTACTGTGAACAAGCACAGATTCCCTGTACACTTGAGACTGATGAAAGGGCAGCCAGTATACCCATAGTGTATTCAACGCACCGCAAAAAAGGCGACGGGCTGAGCAAACAGCGGCAGAATCTTAAATTTGACCTACGCTGGCACATAGTTTGCAGCCAAAACAACTCTCAAGATTTAGTCCGACCGTAGCGACTCCGCATATCCATACGGTGGAAGGTAGGGTGAGATTACAACCAAAGCCATAAACAGCGTGAACTGCAAGCACAGAGACAATTCAAGGTCAGGCAAGCCTTCAAAAAACAAACAGCGAATCTGCTACATCAGCAAAGAAAACCAACTCATCCTAAAGAAATCTTAGTCATGCTAGCACTACATGGTTTAGTTAAAGACATCACCAGCAGTGGCAGGGTCAAGAAGCCCCAAATTGGCCAAAGCGCAATTGAAAACCTGCAGGAAGCGAAAGGCACGCAGACCAGATACACATAAGACATCAACGTTTCCAGATCCCAAAGCTCACGCAAGCAACATATATCTAATCAGGAAGTGATTGTGGCTAAAAGAGGACTCGGCTACATTAGAAGGCAATAATTGGGAGAGAGCTTCTGCGAGGAAGGTTGGCTTACAGCAAGAATGATGTTAAACCAACTAGAGTCGCAGTAGGAATTGCGGCAGGTGCGATCAGCTCCCACTTATCCTCAGTTTTGAGGATATGCCGCAACCAGATTGCCAAGTAGGTGAAGATTGCCGTGTTTATAGCGAGGCCTAGCAAGCCCAATTGGAATGGAAACCTGCATCAGAGCACGAAACTTGTTACCGTCAGAGATTCTCACACTAAATGAGATGAATCCCTCATCACACAGCCATTCCGAAGCTTTCGTGTACAAAACGATACACTTGATTCCACGCTGGATATTTCCATCTCACCTGCGTCAGAGTGAAACAGGTTTGATTCCATCCACATTAATCCTAGCGTAGAGTTTCTCAAGAGATAGTAAGAGGGAATTAAGATCCACCGACAGCTAGCCATTTGCATTGGGGATTTGAGCCTAAAAATCAAGCCTTCGCGAGATGAAATGTTAGAGATGGATAGAGAAACCGTGAAAGGTAAGAGCTCAAAATTGGGAGGGATGAAACAATGGATGACCTCCGAATGCGAGTGTCGTAGAACAAGACATGGAAGAGATGGTGCCTCGAATCGCCGTAGTAGATGGCAAACACTGCGGCAGCAAGCCACAAGAGATTTTCAGCCGTGCGGCGCAATGGGGCAGGTTCATTTGCGGGGAGAGACGTTGGGGCTGCCCCTAAGCCCAGCTCTACTCCATAGTCCGGAGCGAAGCTATACCTCTGCCGCACATTGGCCATCAATCGTCCCCGTTCACCCGACATCATTGAGCAAAGCCGGGTCCTCTCGTTGGCACACAAAACTCAGCCCGAATGCCGAAACTCGAGAAATCCAACCCCTAAATCCTAGAACAACGCTCAGCACCTCATACGCTGAAGCATGAATAACCCATTCAGTCCAAACTCTATACTGCTCCCCCTCCAACTGTGAACAGATTCTCCGAGGTTAGGGCTCACATGTGAAGCATCAGCTCTGGTGTTCGAACATCGAACACACAACCTCAAGCGTTTATGGTTCAGTCACGAAGCTTGGCGTTGCAACCCAGCATCTTCCCTTCCCAAATCAAAGCTCCACAAGTCAAAGACAAATCATCACGCGGTAACTTGGACATCAAAATCGACTCGCCGTCGTCGACTAATGTGTAGATCTCAAGCTTCGCACATTCAATCTCCAAGTAAAGTGCAACTATTCTATGGGTTGTACAAAGTGTGTTCATGGGTTGAGGCACAAGTTGGCAGTCTTGACAGTAACAACAGTGTCAGTCTGCGACAGGGGGTCAATTCCACGGATCACATGGCTATGGCAGGTGGGAGCCCAGGAGAGCGACGAACATCGCCGCAGTGCAAGGAAATTGTAAAGTGGGCACCTGGAATCCGCATATCGCCTTTCATGTCACATTCTGCAGGATCTAACTCTGTGTGCGAATCTGTGAAGTAGGATGTTCCGACTGGGGATCTAAGGACAGCCCTTCATCGCGGCTCTTTTCCTCCCTGCATTCCTGTACACTCAGAGGGTCAAAGTTGCATATAAATTTAGTGCAGCTATTCATGGATTCCGCGAGTTGTGTAATAATTGAGACGAGGTTTTCAAACGGTCTGCCTGGGAGGATAAGAATCAGCAGCTTGTAAGTAAAGATTGCACAATAATTTCGTTTCCTTCGGACTTTTACGACGAGACAGATGATTTCAAACAAGACTTCAATCGCTCTGGTTCTCAGTTTTTCTTCATGGGTTCCAGAAGAAAGCCCAACTGCAAGCAGTGACATAAAAGATTCAGCGAACCGAAATGACGACAACGATTGCCAGAGTTATTCAATGAATGACTTTTCTTCCCACTTTTAAAAGTAGTTTGTTCAAAGTAAATTTAAATTATTCATTCAAGATAACATAAATACACACACACACACACACACGAGTTCACTTCAGAGATAGCCCAATAGTGTATTTGAAACAAGCTAGGAAAAAATATTGGAAGAGCTTGGCAGAGAGCCGGCAGAAGTCGAAAAAACGACTCTTTCAAGGCACCTACTACCTAAGCCCCAAAATTGAAGTTCAAAATTTTTCCATGAAGTGAAGTTTGAATGAAGTGCGCTTTTTAGAAATACACGACATAACTCAGTTAGAGCACACGGATCGCTGCCTGCAAATTCGGCAGCTCTTGCAGAGCCCCCAGCTGTAGCACTCCTCTCTGTAGCAAACAGCCTTGCCACGCTACAGGGACCTCCTCCATCTTGAAGCCAAAACTAAGACTAAGGTCCGTCTCGCAATCAATATTGCCTTTCAATTTGTCAGCGTCATCTTCTACAGTACGATCATCTAAAAATGATTGTTCTTCATTCATTGGCTCGATGGTCTCATCATCACATTCCATCCCTCTAGCCCCGTCTGTTAGTAACAAATGTTCCTCATTTCCAACATCAGAACCAACGCTGTTATCGTGACCTGCAATTTTGGCTTCATTCATTGGCTGGTCTTCTACTCTGGTCCTTTTCGAATCAATTTCGGGTCCAACTTCAGCATGAGCTTCGAAGGCTTTCCTTTTCAAACCTTGACCACATCCTTGATAGCTGAAGTCAGAAACATTTCTCTCGAAGGATTGAACCTCATGGGTAGACATAGAAATTTCTCCTGTCTGGTCATCCTCAACTGGAGTTGATGTTTTCTGTTCCAAATCGAGCCGAGGAAGAATAGCCTCATAATCATGCGCAGATGGGAGCATTCCGATTGCACATGGTATCCAACTTTTAGCCTTCGACCAAGGTCCTGCAGTTGGTGGAGGCTTCATAGTGCGGATATGCTCAGAAGCCTTCAGATTGGCTACATATTTGGCCATCGCCATCTGCCATTTAAGCATACGTATGCTTAGTGAGCTGAGCCCAAATGCTAAAACTATTGAGTTTCCGAAGAAAAGAGAGGAATACTCAAATATGCGATGGTTAGATTGAAAAAAAGTTCACTCAACACAGAACTGTATCGATGAGAACATCACCTGTTGCATCTCTCTTGCCTTCACCAGTGCGGTATCCAAATTCAATTCCCCATCCGCCTCATTCTGTGCACTGCAATCACAAGAAACAAGTGATCAATAAATTAATCAACCTGTGTACACGACACTCTGCACATTCCGGAAAGAAAGTTCTATATAAAACTAGTCTTCTCAATTGAGACGAGTACTCGAATATAATATCGATGTGCGAGGCAATAATGACATTATGGAATTGCATGACTTATAGATTCTTTCCATTAAAATGTGTCTCCAAGTTGACAGCTTTAATATAACAGCAGACGGCTAGTATGGAACCTCAAAAATGTCCATACCTGTCTGGTTCTCGAAGGCGATCAACAAAGCTCCTTCCACTTTCCTCCGTGTCTGCATAGGCCTTCACGTCGTTCGAGAAAGACAAACTACACTTTGCCAGCAGTTCAGCACGTCGGCGGAAGGAGCTGTCATTAACCAGTGGAGAAAGACGAGAGATAAGCTTAACAAGCGATTCCTTCTCCATTCTACAGCGCATGCACAAATGAGCGATCTCCTTCAAGGCATTTTGCGGGAATACTGCGTGCATCTGCAAATCAGCGCCTGTTTCAATAAACTTCGGTAGGCCAGAGTGTGCTTTCTTCTTCTTTGGTAGAGCAGATGACTGATCGAGAATCCACGTTGCCCAATCAACAAGCTCCTCTTTGCAGAATGACGTTGCTAAGTTACCACTCTGATCCTTTTTAGAAGTTGATTCACCAAACATAGCTGTAAGACTTGCAACAATGCTCGAGAGCAAAAGCGCTGGTAGGTGAGGCAAGTGCTCTGTCAACTGCACGCAAGTGTGTTTCCATGCGGCTACAGAATTATCCTCAGGCCTTTCATCAAATCCCAAACCATCACTTGAAGACGGAGAATCTGGTAGTTCATCAAATTCACCGTTACTTTCATCATTGAAAGACTCTATGCTGGGCGTGGGAGAGCTACAGCTTGGATTTAGATCATGAACTAAAAGTCCCTCCTTCACCAGCAAAAATATCAGTTCAGAGGTTCCAGAACATGTGAGCTCCAACAGCTCCCGTAACAAAGCTTGTTGTTGTCGTTTGAGGCCTGCATACAGAAACACAACAACATTCAATAACAGCACTTAGCTAGGACCACTGTAATAAGTATTCAAGGCCGGGGAAACTAACATCATGTGTTTAAGGGAGAAACAGCCAGTCAACCGGAGAAACCGAAAACGTCCAGTGCTCAGCAGTGTTGGTACCAGTGGAACCAGAGGAGACGTAGGTTTCTCAAATATTGATCTAGCAGTCAAAGCTGTGGATAATAACAATCATGAGCTCAACCCACATACTCTCCACAGAGCCCGCTACTCGAACTACAAGAGTGATTCTACTGCTTCAATCGAGGCTTGCCTTTAAGAGCGCGTTTGAGAGGCAATCTCTGCTGTTTAAAGTCCTGTCCTTTTGTCTCCTTACTGAGTAATCGTTGCTGTAAGACCAGAATTTCATAGATCACCTGAGCATGTTGAATAAGTTTTGTCTTCAATGTGCCTTGGTTCTTTGGGACCAGCTGCTCTTGCTCTTCCCAGTAATTTTGTTGCAACCATAAAAGCGCCTGAGAATCATCAAAACACCACCAGATAGATTGAGAAGTGAAATTTTTTTATAGCACGCCAAACCCACAAATAACGCATACATTTGTAGCTTCTAACAAAAGCATAGATAAGGAAAAGGTAAAGTCACTCAGCCACAGCGACCTTTCTGAGGAGTGTTCTAGTACGAACTGAATAGGAAGAAAATGGCATGTACACACCTGTTTGCTTGCATGACGCACGAGAGGTAGAGATGGCAGCTCATTATGCGAAGTTTCTGTTAAAAAAAGCAGGACAAAGTTTGAGTATCTTTACGTGAAAGTGCTGACCTCTTTTGCTAAGAAGAAAGAAGGGAAACATGTTATGACAATCGAATCAACAAACAATCGCCTGATAATGGTGAAAAGTGTACTGCCAACATCCATTTTCGATAACACTCACTCAAATATGGAAAACAATCAAAAGCACTCTGATGAAGATTCTTACGCACCATGACGAATATCAACAAAAACGCGTGGAAGACGAGCATCCTCGGCCCTATTCGCTACAGAAGATGTGTTTCGCCTAACAGACTGGTCCACAACCCCGTTCACCAATCTATCATCCAACCAATTCGTTTTTTATTAAGATAGCTGACAAACGGATCAAACCCTTCCATAGACCACTGTTAAAAGTAAGCGTCATCTCTTCGGCAATCAATAGAGTGATCAGGCAAAACATACCAACGACAGAGATGCCCCAATAAAGCCAAGGTTCAAATAGTACTTTAGAATAGTCAAAGCTCACCTCATGATGGCCATAGCATACATCATTCGAAGCATTTCTCCGGGCAGCGCTGCACTTGGAGATACCTCTGTGCTGAAATTTTCAAACGAAAACATCTTCATCATGGAAATCAGTGTCAACAAAGTCGAGATTGTAGAGGGACAATCTAGCTGCTAAATGAAAACGCCGGAGTAGACGAGGAATTCTTTTTCTTACTTTAACAAAGAATCTCGTTGTTGTATACTGATGATTTCCGCAGTAATTTCCACGGCCACCGGCAAGCCTCCCCTGCTTTGCCATGCTGAAACCTACAAACCAGGAAACCAAACCGGTTGACCTAACGAACTCTCATACATAATTATTAATTTCAGCTATTTAATAAAGCCACTTCTTTTCTTCAAACGTGGTCAAAAATTACACAGGAGACGCATTCCCTTCAAAAATTCTGAGACCTAATCGATGTTCACTGTTGACTAAAATAATCCAGCCTCCATAACAATACTACACTGTACCCCTAATTCTAGATCGATTCAGTTCCCGAGCCACGAACTCTCAAACGTATCCCTCCCACAAGACGATAAGAAATAAAGCAAAGATAGCCTGGATATTTCCAGCGAGTTTACGCAATTGTAAACTCATGTCAAAACATACGATGTCATCACAAAACAAGCAAATGCCCAAATTTCTCCAAGGTTCTCGTGAGAAAATTCACCCGATCCAGTGCTTCGGAAATTCGAGCAGGCGAATTGGAGAAGAAGCAGCAGCGCACATCCTGCCACTGCTGCCAGCTCTCCCACGGCACTTGGCGCATCATCCCCACACAACCTCAATCTCACAACGATTCAAACACTACACTGTAGCCCGTATCTTCACATGTAGCGCTGCTACAAAGCATGTTCAACAAAACAGAACCTAATCTGCGCACTCCGAATCCCGCATTTCACACAACGAGACGACTCCTGTAAAACCAACGGAGGGTTTAGGGTTTAGAGTCTAGACTTTTAGGAAACTGGGGCATCTTCGCTTCGTCTTTACGGTCTAGTTCTCTCCGGATATGCCTCCCTAGTCTCGGGGTGATGAATGACTATGTTTATCATTGGTTGCAGGTGCACCGGATTTCATTCATTCGTCCCTCACCCGTTCACCCTTTAACGGATAACCCTCCGTTGGCAGCTTTCGGTGATGGGTAGTTTCCGGAGGGCTCATGATTTGTGTGATTGTAACCGTTGAGTCGCCCATAGACGTCCTTCTCTCGCTCTCGCTCTCGCTCTTGCTCTTACATAGAGCTTGGTCACTTATCCGTGCCCTTGAATGACAAAAAGTGTGACAGGATGAACGTTGGAATTGATCGAGATCTGCCATGTTTGAAAAACCAGCACGTAACCCTAATTTTGTGTCTTTCCATCACCAGAATTTTGACCCATAAGCTCGCTGTTTGATGGGTCTTGATTGATGCAAAATTCCAGTGGAAATTTGCAAACCCAAAAAAAATAAAAAATAAAAACTGATCAGAAACCCTAAATCCACCATGTCAAAATCCCTTCTTGACCAGGAACCAATATACTGTGTGGAGCAAATCAAAATCCCCAACGGATTGCCGACGCTGCTCAAGACATTCGCTAAAGAAGCCATACGAGCGCAGCCGGAGAACCTGGAAGAGTTCGCGCTGGGGTACTTCCAAAACCTCCTCACCATGATCAAGCTGGACATCACCGCTCCGCCCCCCACCATGGAGCAACTCATTGAGTTGTACCAGCAAACCAAGGAACTGGAATACATCAACCAGGTGCCTCTTGCGGAGATGGCGGCGGGGATCGGGATCCACGCCGCGGCCGTCGACAACGTCTTCAAGCTCGCCAACTTCCCTTCGGATCTGGTGGATCCCAAGGAGTTCGTCTTGCTCCTGCTCACATGCACGGCGAAGAGCTTCGTGGCGGTGGTGCGCGGCGTGTTCAAGCTCTTCGGAGCCAAATCGGGGGGCAAGGTCCCGACGCCGCTGTTCCTGCTGTGCGCCCACCACTTGGCCAAGCGCGACAAACAAATCAGCCCGGAGCTGCTTGCGAGGCTGGAGGAGGATTTCAAACTCAAGGAGAAGAAACACGTCGCCCTGGAGGACGTTCAAACCAACCCTCTCATGGTGCAGTATTTCAAATCCGACAAGGCCATGTCATTGATCAGTTGATAGATTTCTTCCTTATGTGGGCTTCTTTTTCGAGTTTAGTATTGAAAAGTTTTAATTTAAGTGTTGATTGTGGACAACAACAAGGTTGTGTTCTGTTCATACTCGTGGGTCTTTACAAACTTGGGTTTATGAAATGTGTATATGTGTGTATAAGTGAAGGAACTAAATAAATAAATAAATAAATAAATAAATAAAATCCAATGTCAAGCTTAAACACTCACTATGGGTAGTAGAAAGCATGAATAAATGAACGAGTGAAATCAAATGAAATTTAAACAAACAATTGTGTAATTTCTAAGTTTTCTTCTTTGGAAAATGAATGCTATCAAAGAAATTGGTAAGATTTGTGAGTGATAACAGCTGCTTAACTTTTTGATGATTTTTCTGAATTGCTTGGGGCAATAGGTTTGAAGTTTTATAATGTCTCACCATATTGTTGTACATGGGTAGCATCCTCAATTTAAAAGTTGTATAAAGTTATGCAATTTAAACAGGCCAATTTATGTATAAAAAATGTATTTTTTTCAAATAAACTATTATTCTTATTGTGAAAGAGCTTGTTTATTCATCTACAACAACAAATTACATGTAAATTATCTTATGCATTTAAGTAGTGTTGTTTTATTTGCCCTTTGTTTTTCTTGACAATATTTTTTATAGAGTTTGTATGACCTTTTTAATAGAGTTGTTAATTAACTTTTTTTTTAAAGAACCTTGTACTAAATATGACACTCTATTTGTCACCTACGTAACAAAAACACATTAACAAAATGTTCATTTGATTTTTTTAATCGAATAGATAGGATGAGTCTCAATTGTTGAGGAATATTCATCAACTCATGGATTCAAAATTTGTTGTTTCTTCACATTTTTCCATAATGTTGTATTCTTTTGGAAAGAGTAGCTATATAAATTGATTACTTTAGATTAAGTTGTAATCTAAATTCACATAATATTTTTTACTTAGCAAATTTGATGTTACATTTTCAATCAAACAGTTTGATTGAAATTATTTTCAATCTTTTTGACAGTTTACATGTTCTTGCTCAATGTGTGACTTAGCAATTTTGATTGTTAAGACAAAGTTGAAATATTTTCTGAAGCATGGTTGATTGATTCATAAATTCATGGAATAATAAATAGAAAAAGAAAAAAACACGAAAGGGTTTAAAAATTAAAAATTTCATTAATTTTATTAATGTAATGTGATATTGTTTCTGAAGTCCATCGTGTGAAGCCATTGATAAAGACATTGAAAATAGCAACAAATGATAATGTACAAATATGTTAAATCATTGCATAGTTTACCACTTATTGGTGAAACTTACATATGTGTGTGTGTGTATATATATATATATATATATATATTAATACAATCTAAACAGTCATTTGTGTAATTTTGGCTCATTATAATTGTGATGCTTACATTAAAGAAAATAATATCAATTTTAATATGTTTTGGTGGAATGCAAAATTTACAAAAATATACATGTGCAAAATTGCAAACTGTACCAAAAACTTAAACTGCAAGCTTCAAATAGTTGTATTTACACTTCTTTGCTGCTGGATTTTTTACAATTACATTCTTATCATATTTACGCATATATTTATATTAACATTTATCCATTTATTGTGTTTTGTTTGTGGCTATGTTTTCTTTCTCTATATTTCAATTACTTTTCTGTAGTATGAATGGAATATTTTTATGTAATTTTTTGGTACATTATTTTTCATTACAATTTAGAATTCCACTGTATGTTTTTATATACAAGTAAGCAACTTCATCATATCACTTCAAAAGCAAATTTTGGGCTCCTAATGTAAATGCATATTTATTTAATATATAAGGACTGAAAAAGTTTATTTGATGAGTAATGGTAGTTTTCCCTTATTTTGTTGTTGCTCTTTAAAAAAAATCATTATGATTTTCTTCATACTAGCTCCTCAATAAGGTTGGTGTAGTGAATGGGTTTAGTAGATGCGTTAACCAACTTAGGAGGGGGAAGAAATGGGTGGTGGTGGTGCTTAGTCTTAAGCCACCATCAACTTTGATTGTTTTTCCCCTATAATATTATGTACACATGTCCCAAAAACTAGCCCTAAAAACCTATGTAGACTATTATACTTGTGGGGAGACATTGATAAAGATCATTGTACCTTTAAGTAATGCCATTCTCTAATATGCTCAAGGTGGTAAAAGAGAAATGGAATTTGTGACAATCAAAGCCAAAAGTGCACTATACAAACAATTCTTTAATCTAAAAAATAGTCATCTATTTGCTATATTAATTATCAAAGCAAATCTCCAAACAAATATGCACTCATTAATCACAATTATACCATCTTATTAAAACAAAAAATAAAACTTATATCAGAACATGGATCAAATCATCCAATAGACAGACTCCAAAAGAATAACACTACATCTCTTATATAAAACAATTTGTGGGATAAACCTATGGAATAAACCAGAGGAGACAAAAACCATCCCTTTTTGGCTCCATATCTCATTATTTTCATCAAAAGTGAAGCAATAACTTAACTTTTGATCAATTATAGATCAAAATTTGCACATTATTGCTGCAAATTGTTGAAAGTAGCATTTACAAGATCACTAGGCATAGAGATCAAAAGCTCCCAATGAATAAATAAACTAACAAATATTTGCAGTTGTCTACTTTTTTTGTGACCAACCACACAAGTTTCCACTAGTATAATATATATATATATATATATTGGATTGAGACCGAATATAGTACTAATGCATGGGCCTTGTTGATATATAGGGGGGAGGTGACTTTCATAATAACAACCACTACTACAAGTATCCATAGAACTAGGACTACTACTACTACACTAGGATGTGTTGTTACCCAAGTGGGTATATTATCATAGGCTCATGTGATGCATTGAAATGGATCAAATTATATGTAACCAAGGTAGTTGGGGTCAAACTCGGGACCTTGTACAATACAATCGTGTGGCACCCAACCCATGGTACCCACCTTTCTATGACATGTATTTCCTTGTAAAATTCACTCGATTTTGAATTGATCGGGGTGTGGATGAATGAAAACTTCATGTTGTTACATGGGTAGTATGGTTCTATGAGAAATTTTCCCGAAGCATGGATTCCCCGCTCTTGGATGTCAATGTGTAAGCCTCTTTTAAATTGCCACCTGGGATTGTGTCCATGCAAGCAATTGTGACCATATAAATGACTTTGTTTGCATTAGCTGTGTATGTAAATATTAAAGAGATGTGTGTGTACAATATGAAAATTTCTGAAGTTTTGAAGATTAATGAGCTCTTTAAATTGAAGGCTTTCAGTTTTATTTGTTGAATTTAATTTATTAAAGAATTAATTTTTAAAAAATAATGTAAAATAATGAATCACTGTATATACATACATATATATATATATATATATATATATATAGTATAATTTGGAATTTTCAATATTAAACCTAAAAAAATACTAAAAAAATAGATTACTAGGGTAAATTTTGTTCTTTAGGCTGAAGTGTATCTCAACCATTAATCATTCTTTTTTGTATTTAAAATATATGGTCAGATATTGTACCAGTGTATGAATAGAGATTAAAGAAAAAATATTTTAATGATTGAGGTAGAAATTATAAATACATAATAATATTACTTGAAATAATAAAAAGTTAATAACATTTTGCAAACAATTGAAAACAGGGTCTATATCAGATATTAATACTTTTTAGAAATATAAATTAATTTACCTACTTAACTCAAATTGCTACAAAACAATGAAATTTAGATCATGGTGTTTGAAATGGAATAAAACCAAATACAAGACTAAGAAAAATTGTATTGAATCAATCACAACAAAACACAAGGATACTTTTAAGATAAAATGATGGCACAAATAGAAAGATAAATGGAAAAAGTAGAGCATAAAACCAATTTAAGTTTGATTTGTACAAGCTATATGGAAGTTTCACAAAGAACTTGTAAAGAATAAAATAACACTCCTATTAAAATTTGCAACGACATGTTCTACATTCATTCATTTGATAAAAAAATATGTGAATCTCATTGAATAATATAAAGTTTGTAACAAATACTTTCTAGTATTGAGATGTTTTAAAATACTAGTAATGCTATATACATGGCAGTATGATTTTTATTTATTAATATTAGAATTCTTAAAACAAAAATTAAAAATCAAAACTCAAACCAAAAGAATAACAAGTGATACTAAAAATTTATGAAGGTTTAATATTTTCTTATACAGTATTACTTCTACTGAGTTATGGGATTGGTTTGTATCCTAGGATAAAACTTGTAGGAGGTAATTACTTAAACAATTTTAATCCGTAGAAAATTTTGAAGACATATACATAATTAATCATGAACTATTATAAATACTAAATGAATAAATGAATAAATGAATATTTGAAATTAATAAAATTTAATGTTAATAAAATAATTTTAGTTCAAGAGAGAAGGCTGTTGTGCATTTGTTTTTGTTTTTAATCAATTTGTATTAACAGATCGATATTCAATTTGAAATTGGAGGTAAAAGTGTTTATTTATTTTTTAATTGTATAATCCAGTATAATTTAATTTAAAAGTACCATATTAAATAGAATAGGTTACAACAAAGTCAACAATAACAGTGATGTACCTAAAAGTTGCTTTTGTCAATAAAACATGCTAAACTTGTGTACCTCAGTTCAATTTTTCATAACAAAATTAGACTCAACACCTTTATATTGATAGTCAAAGTCTATGGTCTAGGACAATATAATAAAAATCCAATCATAACATACAAATAAAATACCACGTGCATTCAATGTGTGATTTTAAAAATATAAAAAAACTCGCTCTAGAAATTTTCTGCTTGAAAATATTAGTATTTGATGTCGAAGTTGTATGTATTTAGAGGGTTTTTTTTTTTTTTTTTTTTTTTTTTTTCTTTCTTTAGAGAGCCATTAATCCAATTTTAGATTTTCTTTATACAATCATATCTTTACAATATTTTTTACCTTGATTTTATGCTTTGATTTTTCATAATGGTAAAATTTTTCTTGTAAAATAGATTTATGGAGTAGTGAAAAATTCCATTTTGTTTGTATACATATGTTAAAAGATAAAGTATTAAATGTTAGGATACAGTATTAGTGCTCATTATCACTTAGACAAATACATGTCAATGTAATATGTTCAACACATTCCTTAATATCAAATTAAATTTTTGCCATTAAGTTTTTTTAGTAAAAGTAAATTATGCATTGGAACCTAATGTTTTGAAAATTTTAAACTATGCTCAGTCCAATACATATCACATAAATTAAAATAAAATTTC